GGTACTAATTGTTTTATCACTTGTAAAATAAAAATAGTGAATGTACTGTATTATCAGAGATTTTTTACTTTTTACAAAATACTATTGATTATAAATATTTACTAGAATTTATTTATTAATGGTAAAACTATTAATTAAATTATTAATTAGTTATTGGTTATTTCTAACTATATCACACAGTACACACTGCACGCCACGACACACTAGAAAGTCATCTTTATTATATTTGTGTAATATATTTTTATACTTAGGATTACGATTATCCACCAATTTTGGGAGTAAACCCACCCTTTAAAATAGGTGGGCGGCTGCCACACCTAATACATGGGTTCGGGGCCACTGTAACTGTAGTCTATAATTGTACATAATATACTTTTTAAAGGTTTTGTTTATGATAGCAATAAAATGTAATTTGGGGACGACGTGGCCGAGCTGTCTAAGGCGTCGGTTATGGTGCAGCCGTCGCAGGTTCGATTCTCGGCCACTGGGTGGCATTTTTCTTCGGGAAAGTCACGGTGTCCGGAGGACAAGTGCTGCCATTCCGGGGCATGGCAGAAACCTACGGGTGTCCCACTAGAAATTCTGCCACAACACACACACGTGTACCAAACCTATCCAATACAAAAAAAAACTCACAGTTCCACCCCCATCCAATGGCTTATGTTGCCGCGAGTCATCTAATAATAAAAAAAAAAATTGTAATTTAATTATAATTTTCAAGATATTATCTAAACAAGAAAAGGACTTATTTTTATAACCCTTACTAGCTGATCCCGCGCACTTCGTTTCCCGTAAAAAATGACTACTCTTAAACAATAATTTTTATTGTTCATCTCTTTTTAGGTGTAACTCACTGCAGTAAATCAGCCACTACGTATCGGATAGCGGACAATTGCTGTCACACCGATGAGCTGCTTTAAGTGCAACTCAGCCACCTTGGTAGGTGATGTGTGAAAATTCGATTTGATGTATGCTTGTACTGAGTTGTACATGATCTTCCCGATTAACCAATGACAACCAATATACAAACAAATTACTATTATAATTTTTACTAATTATTTCTCCTATAACCAATAGCAACCATTTATAAACAAACATTTCCATCGTAAATCTCCAAATCCCTGTTTGAGCACCTTTCCGGGTTGGACCGACCGGGTCCAATTGTGAATCTAAATCATCCAGGGATCCATTCAGTCTCAAACACACAACAAATTTCATGAGAATCGATCTAGCCGTATAGGAATGCATTTTATTGAAGAACATACTGATAAACATTCGTTTATGTATGTATAGATGAGAAATTAATTTAACTAGGTACCTCAATCAATAGATTCTTTGACACATGGAGGGTATTTATAAATTATTTTTTCAACCACTTTAAGGAAAGGGCAACTCAGATATACATTTTTTTCAGCTCACGAAAAAATAATATTGTTTTGTTCATTTAAATGGTTGTTCTTGCTATACTGTCCATTGGTACAATGGTACATATCATATAACTATAATTATAATTAGTATAGATATAAAGCGCATATTAGGTATAGGTACATTATTTTACAAATATATTTATATATTTATGAAAAAAAAAACAAATCTTTGTCACGGGAAACGCCAGGTGGGACAGAGGTATTTATACAGTGAAATTTCCATATTACGAAGTATCATAGACCATATAGTGTCTCATGCATAAAAAAATTCGTATTACACAGAATTTTAATAAATAGAATTGAATACATTTGGTTCACATAAATATTTCTTTAAATTAAAAATTTTGTTAAATTATGGACGTTCGTTTAATGGGAGTTTCACTGTATATAAAATATAATTTGATTTATTTGATAAGAAATTAATATGAAAAATAATCCAGTTTTCGAAAATGTTCACAAAAAAAAATTTGTTCATCAAAATCTTCATTACTATATAGACACGTGTGTGTGCGTGACACGCACATATTATTGTATGGATACATGTTTTAACTATTGCCATTTTATTGTCTTGAGCCGTTTAATATCGCATTTTATTTTATCTTATACTTCGGTACCTATATACCTATGGCACACACGCACAGACAAATAATTTTATAAGGACGCAACCGGTTTGCCGCAGTGGCTGCCGTGTCCGAATAATGACGTCCAATGAATTCCACACGCTCTGCGCCCTATAACCACCTAATCTAATCGTTGCATGTTTTATGTATGTAAGTACCTATATATACACTTGGCACAGACTTGCAGTCGGCGGCCTTGGCCGGTAGGTATATAGGAAAGAAGACATAAAGTTTTTTTTTTAAATCCATTATAAATTAAACTGGCACGGATCGGTGAAAAAAAAAAAGAGTGTAATATATTAGTGTATTATACCTACCTATTTGCCGAACGATGCGATGGGACTCGATTTTCATTGGCCGTTTCTGCGGTTATTATATTGTTATTAATTTCTTATACATCATACGTATGATATATAGGTAGGTAGGTAGGTAGGTACGTAAAAAGTCTTAAAATGTATGAGGGCAGACGATTTGTTGGTACATATTATTGTTGTCGCGAACCCCAAACGTTTAAATGCATATTTTATAGACCGCTGATCTGATCAGCCGTGAAAAATATTGAGTTAAAAATAGTAAACCATTTAACGTACTTACTAATAAAATATTTAATGAAGATCAAATTATTTTGTTTTCTTGCGGGATCTGACATTGCCTTAAATCAGGCGTTTTAGATAGGCAAATTGATTGTATGATGTCAAATCATATAAAGTTCAAATCATTTGCTTTTTTTTATATATCATGTATAATATAATATTTTAACCTTGTAAACATTTTTTATATAATATTATTTTATAAAAACTAATAATCAGTGATAGCAATAGTTTAACTAGGTATATTTACAATAATATGTGGCTTATAAAAACAAGAAGTTCCGAAAATATTGTAAATTTATTTTTGTGTATACTTTGGAATTTATTTAGATTTGATTAATATATTATAATATTGTAATTTATGCGGACAATTTTAATTTATTTTAATATTATGTAATGCCTAATTTATTATAATAATTTATATGTCGCTAAATACTACATACTGCTAAACTGATGGGCCGTTTTAATATTTACGCGGAATACATAATAACCTCGACACATTATTTAAAATTCGAATGACGCTTTATAAGTATCTGCATTGCAATAAAGTCATAAAGATCGCCCAAATATTCGCAAGTTATCGTAATCAGTGTTATAGATCAAAAATGTGGATTTCTGTAAGAATTTATGTTTAAAGTCTTATAAGTTACTGCTTACTATGCAATTATATAAATAGATAGGTATATAATATAGGTAGGTACATCATATTTTGTAGTTTGTACATCTATTACCCCCCCCCAATTCCAATGTTACACAATGAAGTTTTAAAAATTAAGACATTTATGATTTTGTAGAATACCTTATTAGTTATTAATTATTGGTCTGATTGTATTTGTGTATCGTATACTAATTTTATTACCAATACACTGTTGTCTGTTAATTGTTATGCGCTTTTAAGTCTGCTATTGACCCCTTCGTTGGATTTTTTACACTTCTGTTTTAAATCTACATATAGGTCTAAATTAAGTATCGGGTCATTAATTCTATAGTTTATTGTTTTCATGTATATTGTTATTTATTACATACGAACTTTGAACCAAAAAGCACATTTTAAATTATTTCAATAAAAATAAATTTAGAACAAGTGGAATTATAATATCAACATAAGTCTTAAAAACATCATTTACAATCAACCATTCGGTTTATGTTCTAAAAATGTAAAATTATTTAAATTTCGTTTGCATCAAATAAAATTTCTATACTTCAACATATTAGGTATATATTATTTAGAATGATTTTTCTTGACTAATAAAACTTTTTATTGGCAGGTACCCAGGATCCATGCAGGTATCATAAAATGTTTTTTAGTGTGTATTAACATTTAAAAAATAACTAATGGTTCCTTTGTTTGAGTGATACTTATATTGCAACTATAAAATTTCGTATCCAAGGCAAACTTCAAGTGAAATCGGTATCGTCATTATACCATCTTTTATTTTTTAGGCTGATGTAATTTATTGTGAAATCCACTATTAAATAATGTGTTTTTCGATTAGTAAAGTTTTTTTAACATTTCTGGTATAACACCGAAAACCAGTTTTGATTACGGAAAAATGTGTCAATTCTTGGATAATTCCCATGAAACGAACCACACGCATTTGTTCAGCCATTATATTATTATGTCTGAGATTGTGAATCGCCCGGTTTTTCTGGTTTTAGATTGAGAATCCAAAGAGCACTGCCAAGGATTATAGACTACCTATTATGTTAAAAGATGGTCTTGTAATCGTTTGCAGATTTTTTTACCTGATATTGACATTTTTTTATTTTTTTGTCGTTGTGTGTTGTTATTATTGTGGAATAATAATAATATGTTGTGTATTAGGTATACGCAATAAAGGTTAAGATTTTAACATAACAAATAAATTCAAAACGTTCCATTTGTTGTACAAATTGTTTTTATTTTCAAACTTAAACTCTACATAATGACATACATATTACACATGGTAAACAAAAATAATATGTTCGTTTGGGCATACATATAGGCTGATATACATCGTACACCTATATGCGTCAAACGAGTACATACATAAAGAAGTGACGACGGAAACGTCAACTATGAGAGACATTTCTTTATAGCGTTCGTCGGGAAAGATAAAAAAAAAAGGAAAAGGAAACGAAAAGAAAAAAAAAAGTTCAATTGAGTCCGAATTTCGGGTTTTTGAACAAAATACAATTTGAATAAAAACCAATCATCAGAACGATGAACCGAACCGAATTGTAGAATTTTTTTTCTTTTTTTTTTCTTGTTCTTTTTCAAGACGAGGGAAGGAAGAAGTGGTGGAGGTTCGATTATTTGATGCTTACACAAATAAACGTCCGGCAGTTGTTGGATTCGTTGATTTCGTCATAATATATATCATCTAATACCGTTTGGCGGTGTTGATCGGGAAACCCCTCTCGTCGTATTGACCGGCATCGGCGGCGGCGTTCTTGTAGGCAAGTTCGTTGGCACGGACCAACGCTTCTGGGAGTGGTGGTGGAGTGGGCAAATGTGCTCCCTTGGCGACGAAACCGTTGTCAGCGTCTGCGAAGTATTCCACTTGGTAGACAACGCCGTCTGGGCCGGTGTACAAGTAGTATCCTTGGGCGACTTGTCCCTCGGCCTCGGTGCCTGGGTTCTTCAGGTATCCGGATTCGCCGGCTGAGATTCCGTTTCCGGTCTGGTAGCTGCGAACAATGGGAAAAGGAAATTGATGTTTTATATTATAATATAGGTAACAATTATTATTAATAACGAGTTATTATGATGATAACGGCGACGATAATATTATAATAATTGTATATATCTGTATGTAAGTATAAGACGTTCGTCGATTACATATTTTAATTGTTCGTTTTTCTTATTAGTATTCCTTATAGAGGAAAATAATACAATACAATATTATATATACCGCGACTACCATTCTACTATTGCGTGTACCAAGTAACTATGTATAGGTATGATCGGTATAATAGGCACTCACCTGTATTGGTAAGATCCGTCGAGGTTGAGTTCTTGTGTCTGGGCGATGATCGGGATGGGGGTTGTGACGGCGGCCGATGGGGCGTAGTAGGCACCTTGTGGTGCGCCGAAGACAGCGCAGGCCGAAGCCAAAACGACAAATGCAGCCTGTAATATAAAACATTGATATTTATGTGGACAATAAAAAATGATCTTATAGTCGTGCCTCTGACGTTTCGAATCATGTTCGATTTTATAATAATAATAGCTATATTATAATATTACTATGGAACACTGTAATCGTACAAATATATTGCGTGTTCTAATAATATAATACACGGTACGATACTCGGCTGAAGTATAGGTATATTATGCTAAGTATAGATAAGTATATTTTGGATGTTGGCCGTAATCATAATAATGTACACGAGTCTCCGTGGTTAGTGCTTCACGTAGTGCTCAAAATAATAATTAAAAGCGGCGGTTTTACGACTTGTGCGTACATCAAAATGAATCCGTAGGCATTACTCGATAATAATAATATTATTACAAGTGGACGAGCTGAAGTGTTGTGAGCGTTACGTGTTTTTGAAACTCTTTTTCCCGGTGTGATCGTGCAGCTCGGCTCGATATTATATAATATTATACGATAATAATAAGCTTTTATTATATTTTTGTATTATTATTGTTGGCCACCGCGGCCCGTAAAAAACGCATTGTCACGGCAAAATATTATTATTAATTTTTTAAGCTCGCAGTATTTTGTTCACACGCACAACTTCTGCGTCGCAACTGCACCACTGATATTGTAGAGTATAATATTATAATATTAAAGTTCGAATCGCGTCGCATAATAATATATGTCCCGCGAATGTAGTAATCCGATGAGGTACGAGCAAAAAACACTATTCCTGGATGAAACGACCACGGTCGGCCTCACATGTTCGCCGCGTATTTGTATGCAATAGATATAATAAAATGATGTGCAGTGCGCAGATGTATATTAACACGAGGTAAAAAACGACAGTTGAAAACGTAAAAAGAACTACGTTTATCCCGTTCGAACCGCGGCGGGTTTAAAAGCGTATTTGTAAGTAATTTATAGTATAAAAATATATAATATGTGTAAAAAAATTAAAACCATATTATATGTAGGTAATAATATTATATGTTGGTATATACTCACGGAGAAGAACATTTTGGTTTTTTGGATTTTGTTGACGGTTGTCTGGATGAGTGAAGTGAACTGTTGTCGGACGGACTTGAGAGCGCACACAATTGTCTGTTGGCTGTCGGTAAACCGTTAAATACTCGAATTCCCCACCCCGGCGCGATGCGACTGGATAAAAAAACGGTGCAGGTATCGCACTAGATCAAAAACGCATACACGGTGTACAAGGTGTACGTCCAGAGACGAGAGCGAGTGAGAGAGATGTAGTGAGAGAGAGAGTGGTGTGTGAGTAGTGAGTGTGTGTGTGGTGATGAGTGTGAGAGAGAAAACAGGAACCGCAACACTAATAAGAAATGAGAAAAAAGGGGAAAGACAAAAAACGGAGACGACCACTGAAGCCGCCGCCGCCGATATCTTTCCCCTTCGAATTCAAGTGGTCGGTGGCGGGAGGATGATGAGCATGAGGTCGAGCGCGGGATGGTGTCGGATTTTACGCGCGCGCGTGCGATAACCCGAAGCGTCGCCGAGGAGGGGCCGCCCGGTGACCTTAAGGATGAAATAATAATAATGGAATAAGAAAAAGAAATATCATAACCCGAGCGTGGGCCGCGCGCTAAGTGTTGCGCAACTATATCACGACGGCGGCGGCGGCGTCGATGATGGTACCTACCTATAACCATTGGTCGCGTATGACGGATGGAGATGACCGGTCGAACGGCGGCGGCGACGACTCTTCTTGGCGCAGCCGCCGTTTTGGTACATACGTGTCGGCGATTATTACTACAACTTACTATTACTACTCGTCGTCATCATCGTCATCATCGTCATCATCATCATCATCATCATCGTCGTCGTCGTCGTCATCTCTTGGTGTGTTATATATTCACGACGACGGCGGTGATACATGTTGCACGGTCGCGGTATCCGGAGCTCTTCAGCACAACCGACCGACCGGTCGAAACAGTGCATACGTGTATGTACCTACGTCCCGCTAAGCCGTACGCTGATTTTTATTTTTTATAATATTTCCGACGTACCTGCAAAGACGCAATACAAATTATTTTTTATATGGGACAACGAGGAGACGTATAATAAATAAAATATTAATATTATATTGTCCGTTTTCGATTTTTTGTCTACTTAGTATATACTTTGGTTTTTTTTAGTGCACTACCCATATATGATATTCGCGGTCTTATTCTTTTCCGTGACGTTATACTGTACAATATAATATATTATATACGATGGTTAGTACTTTTTAATACTATGCGTCAACATTTATTTTCCATATTTTGTTTTCACTCAATTTTTTTTTTATGTCTCTTTTTTGTCCGTCCACAATATTACTATACAATAACGATATTATTATATCATACCTGTGAAACATCCACAGTAAGTATACCTATCGTTGTCCGCTGCAGCATAATCTAGACGATCAAGCGGTTCGGAACCCGAGACAAGTATACGCAGCAATATACGTAAAAAGTGCATAAGAATTCGATCATTTATCATAGTGTCAGGTTCTTTGATTTTTTCGTAAACCGTCAAAATGTACAACCATATTGGGGTTACGTTAATAGTTTTTTCGTTTCTGTGTATTTATTATTTTTTTTTTTTAAATGTATTCTTCTTACATTGATTCTATTGCTTCACGTGTAGCGATAAGCAGATAAGGTATAATATATATACTGATCTTACAATAGTTACTACAGATGTGAGATGTTAACATACCGTAAACGTAACCTCTATAGTTGTACATTATGATTTTTACATAAATGTAATTAGCCAAAGACGTGAACGTATGTACTTGGGTTTTAAATTTTAATTCATATGGTTTTCACACCGTGTGCACTGTAGGTAGAGTAGGTACTATTTATACTTCTGAACTGTGATCACTTATCATAATACAAACCGTTAGTATACCTACGTAAAACAATCGGTACGTTAACAGTTTTTTATTAGGAAAGTTTTAAAAATATATTCTCAGCCCCAACAATGTGTATTGGTTGATCTACAAAATGAATATAAATATTCTAACATACATTTATTTATACTAAATAGTAAATAATATAAATAACTAATAAATTCATTTGAGCAGATGATTTTACACTTTTTTTTTCATTTTGTATAATTATAAAATTTGATTAAGCCATCTAATTATTTATAATACGTGATTTTAATGTTATATATTTTTACAAGAGTAAGTATAGGTATTGTAATTTAAATTATAATTGTATTGCTTAATAATACTAATGAGTAAAATATATTTCTTTAATAACAAGCACTGATCATTCAGCATTACAAGATGAAAGGTAAATGTTATGTAAATTATATTGGTACATATAATATATATATTTTATCATCTTTGCTATGGCCAGTTTAAGGAAAGATTTATTTAATATCTATTTTAATTTTCAATTTATTAAATTAAAAGTCATAATAACATTAATTTTTTGAACTAGTGTTCTCTTAAAATTCACAAGAAACCGTTAAAAATTAATAATTGTTACAAAAAATCTGAACAAGTAGGTACTCGGTTATTAACAAAACGTTCACCATTCTTTGGCAAATCAAGCTCAGAAAATTTTTAAAATTTAAAATTCTCTGTATTCCTGTAGTGGTTCACCTAACTCTTGTTTCTCACTTTGCATAGATTGTTATTTATTTTTATGTAATCAAGATATATTTTTATTTAATTTCCTGACATCGAAAGACCTTAAATTAATCTTAATCACACAGAATTCGCGTTAGGTAGTAATAACAAGTTTTCGGTTATATATTTTGCAATATTGCAATTGAATCGGTCCATCTCCGATACAATGATTATGCAATGACATAATTTGTTTTTTATATTCATATACAGGTTTAGCGTATACTGACCCCATGTGTATTCTTAAGACTCTTTCTACTCGTGTGATCATGTAAATGTATGGTTAATAAATAAACATTGGTAAGTGAATTAGGAATTATTATTTAATAATCATATTTTTCACTAGGTAGGTATATCATAATATGTACTCTAGTCATATTATACATACAATATATTATTTTTATAGAATATGATTGTCAATATGTTATATGTATCTTCGTATCATCAAACTGAAAAACTTGACAATATTATTGTTATAAATTAAAGTAAATAAAGATATTTTGATTTTTGTTGCTTTATAATTTTTATATCAAAATTGATATATTTAAATATCGATTATCTTTACTACCCATTTAATTTTCAAAATAAAACTTGAAATAAAAATATATGTATTATATCGTATATGTCTCGCTACTTAGAATATTAAATTTATCGAATATTATGCAATTCCCAAATTTTATTTAAAAAAAAAAAATGCTGACCTAAAAACTTGTCTGAAAAATGCAGAAGAAATCGATCGAGCAGCAAATCGAATACAGTATTATTATTAATGGTAAATGGCAGGTCGGATGCCGCAGGGCAGGTCATTCAGAATGATGTGAACGTCATTCCTTAATGCAGAAGCCCAATATTACGAATGTTGCAAACAGTTTGAATAGTTATTTTGAAAGGTTTTTTTTATTTAATATACAATTTATATTTAGTATATCACTTATTTACTTCGTGTCATATATTTAAATTGAACGCACTATTATAGTTACTTATCGTGGCTCTAGGTTGAATTTTCATTCACTGGATTATTAGAACTAATATTTATCGTATTTTTTATGTTTCATTTAGTTATAAACTTATATCTAATAAAATAAATGTACTATAATTTATAATGTTATGTAGACTTGGCCTATTAGCATCAATATGCGTCAATAAATAATATTCTACCCACTGAAACTGCTATGCTAAATGTCAGGGTAAAAATTGATATTTCTGCAGAATTGTTGTAAATTTATTTCTTATGCAATAAATATTTTATTTGAACCCATTATAATTATATCGTGTGCATGACTTGAAATGTTTTTATTTCATAGAAAAAAATATAATTTATTTAAGTATCTTACTAGAGTACTATTAAACTAACACTATAAAATATTATATACCTACCTAATTCATAACTGATAACTAATGAAACTACCTACTCTACATGTTTAGATATTCCTACTAGCCACTAGGTAGTTCAATTAGAAATTAGATACATATAGATTTATTATTATGATAGTAGGTATATAGGTACTTTAAAATTATAAATTTTTGTCTGAGGGCAGAGTTGAAAATTATATTCGAAATAGTTGAAATTGTTTTATTTGTTTTCCGCTTTATGCAGTGGTAAATAAATAATTGATCACTCATATTCTAATAATAGTATACATCTATCACCTAACCTAGTAAAAGGATCAAAAGTTGTCTACATTGTTTTCGAAAGAAGCAATATCTGTAATGAAATTGTGTAGTCAAATGTTCTAAAATATAGAGGCTAACTAAGAATGTACATTGTACCTATTGCAAGTATGCAAGTACCTGTGTTGAAAGTAGAACAGCTATATCTTACAATTTAAGGCCCAGTGCCCACCAAGCTTTATTATTCGGCCCAAAAAAATAACTCAAAATTAATATCAAACTTATTTAAATTATTTTTCACTATTATACGATGAATCATGAAAATGTTATACATTTTTAATATTATAAAATTGTAAATTTATGTTTAGAAGTTTTATGTTATATGTTATGTGTTGCCCTAAGTACCTTACTTACAATAGCAATCGTAGCTCACGTAATCTAGATAATTAAAATATGTAATATGCGGTCCAAGTAAAATAATGGTCGAGTATGGATGATGTAGAGTATTATTAGTATAAATAGACAAAATCACTTGACAATCGGATATGTGGTTCCATTACACAAGTCATTTTTTATTGTTAATAAGTTCAAGGCTCAAGTAAATGTACACATTTATTCTATCGATCGATAAGATTAAATATTTATCCAAATACGATTATAAAAGTTATGATTCAGAATGCACGGCGTTTATAAAAAAAATGTCAACAACTGCTAACGACTAGAATATAATACGATGAAATTGTTCTGTGTGCTAACATAAATGTTCACACGCCTCGTGTTAGTTAACGTGAAAGTATTTAGCGTAGGTACGAGGTACCTATTCATTTTAATGAAATTCATGAATATAATATACCTATAGACTGTATTATCATTAATGTTATAGTTTGTTTGACAATTCGTGATCTCATTATAGCTCAATTATATGTGACCGCAATGATTCTGTTAAGGATTTAATATAGACTACCTATCAACGTATAGGCAAGCACTTATTTTTCATTAAATCTCCATGTATGAAATTTCTGGAAATCACCCTATGATCTTAATAAGTACGTTTGCTAAACAGTCACGAAATCACTCACTATATTGAAGTATTACAACTACAATAATCCCTGGTAGGCCTGGTATATATAACTCCAGTACCTATTTCATTATACTTATAACAGTGACCAGCTATTATATCATAATGTGTAAAGGCTAAATAACTAATAAGTGCTTTTTACAGTTTATAAACAGTTTATTTTGCTTAAAAGTTAAATTGGTCCGCGGGTTAGCCAGTAAATATGAAAGTAAATAAACATCTAAATAACGAAGTACAGCAGACACAAATTATACAGCAGAGCGTGTTCCCTGTTTTTTTTTTTTTATTGCTTTTATTGCTTTGGGGTATATTAAAATATTAGACTTAACTCAGTTTCTCAATTAAATATGTTTAGTAGCCGAAGCGCGAAGTACCTTCACTGGATGGTTTCTTCCCTCAAGACACTCAAGCCATTACATTAATTTAATTTAAATAAACATACATTATGCTTATTGTACTTTTTTTTTAAGTATAGAATGTATAAGTTCTAGATAAAAAAAAAATGTTTAGAACAATTAATGTACAATTGTGCTGGTCAGATAAGTGGATTTCAATGATTATACTGTATCTACAACGACAAAACTGTAAATTGTAATGTTATAATTATTATAACAAAATTGAGACTATTATAAATATTTTGTAATAATTATTATGTG